AAGTACAGTTCATGTAATAATCCCATTTCATTATTTTTTACATAATTGAAATATAATTGTAGTAGTTTTCATAATGTGTTATACTGAATTGTAAACAAAATTGGGAATTGTTTTTTTTTTAATTTTTTTATGTCTGTGGAACAAAATTGAGAATTGTTGGGTGTTGATTTTAGTGCTGATTTTCATAAGCAATACTTTTATATTTAGTATTATCTTAGAATAAAATTTTAAAGTGGTACGAGTTTCTTGTTGTTTCTAATCTTATCATGATTAGTGAGACAGTCATTTGTTTTCTAGATTGATGACATTGTAAAAGCTGTTGGTAACTGCAGCTACAACCAACTAGTGGAGAAGATCATCTCTTGTAAGCAGTCAGACAATAGTGAGCTGGTTAGTGAAGGTGGGTGAGTGCTGCTGTTACCTGACTTTTTTATTCTTGGCAACATAACTTGTCTTATAGTTTAATATTTTTCAATTGTCTTAAATAAGACTTCTAAAAAATACAGGTGATGCTAGTAGGAGTTTTTAAAAAGTAATCATTCATAAAGGTGCTAGTGAAAGGTTTTTTCTAGAACCATTTTCACTTGACTTGTAAATTCAGACCTGGATTCTACTAAAAATCTTTGGGATCACTTACTAGCTTTGGTATGGTCAATTACTCAGAGGTTACTGATAATTACTCTTTTAAAAAAGGATTATTATTTGGGAGTACTGAATGGACTTTATAATATATCCTGAATTCTTCATTTGACTGGGATGAGTATTATGGTGCTCAAGTGTTCTATTTTAGTAGACTTGTGCCTTATGTTTCAGTACAACACAATATTTTAAGGCCCCATTCTGAATCAGAGTATACCCTGAACATCACTTTTGCTAATCCTTAGCTAATTGAAATTCCTAAATTTGTCACAAAAGTAGTTTAATATTTTTTAAGTTGTATTGCAGTCAGTGATGGGAAAAGGGGATTTCAAACCAGAGTGTTATCAGGAGGCAAAGCATTTGGATATAGCTTTTTTACCACGCACTTCACTTTTTCATAAATACACACAAATACTGCAGCTGCTATTCTCCTTTCTTTGAAGGATAAACAAAAGAAAGAGAACTCATAAGATGCAGAGTATGAATTTTATCACTCTCAGACACAATTCTTTTACGTGAGGTTTAATAAAAGCTAATTACAATTACCACATTTAAAAAAATTAAAACTGGTGACTATAAGAATATATGAGTATATAAAAGATGTGTACATGAATCCCATATATATTTATTAATCAGAACCCAACTAATTGTATTACTTAATTATTCTGAAGTTTAACATATATGCAAAAGAGGCAAGTAATAAGAAAATACGTAAGTAATTTAGTTGGGGTTTAGCCTAGACCCTTGTAAAAAACTATTTGAAGGGATCTCTTTGCTTTTGTTATTTTTTTGTATGACAACTCTTTTATTACAACTTAAGGCAGCAAAGTTTAAATTTTAGGAGGAAAAGGAACAACAAAAGATATTCTGAAAATATTTTCTCTCAATTAACAAAATTCCACTCACTGGAACTTTGCATTCCTTATCCAAGCTCTCATTACTATAGATATATTCCTAAAAAGGAGCTTATAAAGAAAATTTCCTTTTGTGGAATCTTACTATCTCAGTAATGTTCAATATACTAAGAGTTATACTATTCTGTAGTAATTGAAGGAACAATAGGATTCAGAAAGTGGCAACAGATGAAATGATGGCCAAGAAATAATATTTGGGTACGAAGCTATGGGAAACACTGTTACCACATCTTTCCCAAGCCAGACTACAATGCAGCAAGGGTAGGACTTAGTATGCTAATTAACAAAGAGAACAAAAAAGTCAGTCCATCACTTTTTTTTTCCTTAACCTGATGTTACAACTATCATTATTTTCTCTGATATTTGTTCCCCAGGATAATGAAAAACTGTAGCTAATTTATGTAGTATTGATAATTTGGAAAGAGCATCATGGTAAAAGCAAGGAAAGAATCTCCTTCTAAAGTGGTATAGAATTTTAAGGTAATAGATAGGTAATGTATACCAGGCATTTATTTATTTATTTGTTTGTTTGTTTTTTTGAGACTGGGTCTTGCTCTGTCTCCTGGGCTAGAAGTGCAGTGGCATCATCATAGCTCACTGCAACCTCAAACACCTGGGCTCAAGTGATCTTCCTGCCTCAGCCTCCCAAGTAGCTGGGACTACAGGTGCACGCCACCATGCCTGGCTAATTTTCCTGTTTTTTTGTAGAGGTAAGGTCCCGCTCTTGCTCAGGCTGGCCTCAAGTGATCCTCCCACCTCGGCCTCCCAAAGTGCTAGGATTACAGGTGTGAGCCACCACACTCTTTTTGAGGAAAAGAAATATTATTTAGCAGATAGTCAAATAGAATTAGGTATTCTTTCAACTTCTAGATAACATTCATTTTCTTTTGATGCTAATACCTTGTAAGTAAAAGTACAGAACTTGTACATAGAGTACTTATTATTTGTTACCTCTTTTGGGTGTCAATACTTTTTTGAATCTGATTATAATGATGGGTTGTGGCATGGCAGCAAAAATCAACAAAAAGGAAAAAAATAGCACAGTGCCAGATGCCAGACTTCACCAGGGCTGGTCATTTTATTTCAGATACTCTCTCAGGAATGTTTCTTTAACAGTTGTTCCAAGGACAAAAATATGCTTATAAAAATAATTATGGAATATTTATTCATTTATTCAAATATTTAATGATCCTTTATTATGTGCCATAAACACTGAACATTATTTGAATTCACATTATTTTTTATTAAATAATATGATTTCCTTTTCTTTCTGCAACTTCAATTTGGAGAAATCTCAAACCCATTTTAAAAAGTTGGAATAGTACAATGAACATTTATCTGTTCTTTACTTAAATTTACCAGTTATTAACATATTGAATGTTTTTGCTTTTTTTCAGTATTCCTACACATGCTTTTTTTCCTAAGTCACATTAGAATTAGTTGCATGTATCATGGCACTTTACCCATAAATGCTTTATCATTTGTCTCCTAAAAACGAGGCATTCTCCTATATAATCACAATACAATTATCTGAGGCAATTTAGCATTGATACAATATTATTCTCTAATATACTGTTAATATTCAGAATTATCCAGTTTCCCAATAATGCCCCTTAATAGCTGTTAAATTTTTTCAATGTAGGCTCTTATTAAGGATTATTTAATTGCCTTATCTCTTTAGTCTCCTATAATCTAGAATAGATTCCTAACTTTTTTTTTCCCTCCTTTCTTTCCTTCCTTCTCTTCCTCCCTCCTTCTTTCCCTCCTTCCATTCCTTCCTTTGTGACATTTTTGACTTTTTTAGATAGTCCAGGCCAGTTGTTTTATAAAATAGTCCTCAATCCTAATTGTTTCCTTATAAGTAGATTCATGTTATACATTTTTGACAGAAATACTATGTAGGCAACATTGTATCCCCTCAGTGCATCGAATCAGGGGGCACATGAGTCTGATTATCCTATTATTGGTGATCTTCACATTTGATAAAGGTGGTATCTGCAGATATTTTTATTGTAAGGATACCCTTTTCCCTTTGTCATTAATAAATCACCTGTGATGTTACGCTTTGAAAATGTGTGACTATTCTGTTTCTTAGTTCCTTAATAATCTTTCACCCAGTAGATTTGGCATCAATTGATTCTTGCCTAAATCCATTACTACTATGGTTATTATATTTCGGTTATTCTTTCTACATTTATTAGATGTTACTCTTCTGTTAAAAAAAAGTTTCTCCTCCCCTATTTTAAAAAATTGTATCATCTTAAATTCATGAATTCTTTTTTATTCAGTGTGTTAATTCATTGTCATCGTTATTCTTTTTAATGCTTAAATTTTTCCAGATATGGCCAATGAGATGTCCTCAAGCTGAGTCCCATGTTCTTTTGATATATCCTTATCATCCTTTGAGCACTTGTTTTTTGGCACAATAAGATGTTCTGGGCTCTCTACTACACCCCTGGAATCGCATCATATGAGCCTCTATCTTTTTAAAGAAAATCTTGGCATTTGGCATATTAAAAGAGATTGTTTTACCTACCCTCTTGAGGAAAAAATATGTTAATATAACATTCAATTTTTGAGACTTGGAAGTAGATTAAGTTAAAAAGAGGCCACGCATGGTGGCTCACACCTGTAATCCTAACACTTTAGGAGGCCAAGATGGCAGGATCGTTTGAGCCCAGGAGTTCAAGACCAGCCTGGTCAACATGGCAAGACCCCGTCTCTACAAAAAATAAGAAATTACTGGGTGTGGTGGCACACTCTGTAGTCCCAGCTGCTTGGGAGACTGAGGCAGGAGGATTGCTTGAACCTGGAGTTCAAGGCTGCAGTGAGCTATGATCAGGCCACTGCACTCCAGCCTGGGTGACAGAGTAGGACTCTGTATCTAAAATAAATAAATAAATAAATTAGATCATTTGTTTAAAGCTATCTCAGTGTTAAGCTATCTCAGAGTTAAGTTCTAAACTTAAGTTTGAACATAAATCTCAGGCAGGACCACATCTAGGCAATATTTTAGTTTATTCTTTTTTTTTTTTTTTTTGGTCAACCCTGTGGTCAATTTGCATGGGCAACATTTTTAAGTAAATCAAGTTTCCTTCTCTCCTATTTCTACTGTCTATTCCTTTTTTCCTAATTTCAGTGTACCTCTTCCTAACTTCACCTTCATTAAAGCAGTCAGTAGTTTCACATTCTCTAATAACTCTCCAGTAACAGAGGAAAACAATTTGATAAACTAATTTATTGTTGAATTTCCTTTTTTTTTTTTTCTTTGAGACAGAGTCTCGCTCTGTTGCCCAAGCTGGAGTGCAGTGGCCAATCATAGCTCACTGCAACCTCAAACTCCCAGGCTCAAGCAACTCTCCCGCCTCAGTCTCTCAAGTAGCTGGGACTATAGGCACGTGCCACCACACCCAGCTAACTTCTTATTTTTTGTAAAGATGAGGTCTTGGTATGTTGCCCAGGATAGTCTCAAACTCCTGGTCTCAAGCAATCCTGCCACCTCCCAAAGTGCTGGGATTACTAGCCTGAGCAGGAGTGAGACCCACATCTCTACCAAAAAGAATGGAAATAAAAAACCCAGCCGGGTGTTGTGGTGCATGCCTATAGTCTGAGCTACCTGGGAGGCTGAGGCAGAAGGATCCCTTGAGCCCAGGAGTTTGAGGTTGCTGTGAGCTACAGTGATGCCACTACACTCTGCCCAGGATGACAGAGTGAGATTCTATCTTAACAAAAACAACAAAAAAGGTAATTAAACACCCTTCCTTACAACCCCCCACCCCTTCAAAAAAAAAATTGAAACTACATTAGCCTTTTTTGATATTCTGCTAAAATCACTATTTAAGAGATGACAGGAGAATTAGGAAACGTTTATAAATCTTAAGAGGCTATGCCTTATGGTTTGGGGAGGGATATAATTCAGTTGGCATTTATAATAATCATCTGCACTAAACTTTTTAACTTAATACCAATAATAATTCTTCTGGGTTCCAGTCTTTACTTTGCCATACTAGTTTTATGTCCTTGGGCAAGTCACTTATTCTCTTTGAGCCTATATCCTGTTCTATAAAAAGAGGTAGATGAGAAAGACCTTTCTAGTGTTAAATTTCTGAATTTCACACTGACATAAAAGGAATACTGTGGTATATCTCTAATGAATTTTTGTATCTTTTTGAAAGGAATTTGTAGAGAGGATATTGTGTGAGTCAGGTGTGGAAGAGGCATTTAAAAACATCTTTCTGAACAAGGGGTGGTGGTGCATGCTCATAGTCTTAGCTACTCAGGAGGCCAAGGCAGGGGGATCAGTAGTTTGAGACTGCAGTGAGCTAAGATTGGGCCACTGCACTCCAGCCTGGGTGACAGAGTGAGACCATGTCTCTTTAAAAAAAAAAAAAAAAAAAGGCCGGACACAGTGGCTCATGCCTGTAATCTCAGAATTTTGGGAAGCAGAACTGTATAAGAATTGCTTGAGGCCAGGAGTTCAAGACCAGCCTGGGCAACAGAGTGAGACCCTGTCTCTCCAAAAACTTAAAAGAAAAAAAATTAGCTGGATGTGGTGGTGTGCAGAGTAGTCCCAGCTACGCTGGAGGCTGAGTCACAAGGATCACTTGAGCCCAGGAGTTTGAGGTTGCAGTGAGCTATGATCATGCCACTGCACTCCAGCCTGGGTTACAGAGCAAAACCCTGTCTCAAAAAAAAAAAAAAACTTTCCGAAGGAAGCATTTAAAAACATGAATATTATATACTTCTCAGCACAAGCATATCAGCACATGCTTTTTAAATGATATATTAATATAATAGTAAATTCTATTAATGTACATAATAAGTGCTATTTATTAGTATATAATACATTCTACTCAGTAACTTACATACTTAGCAAAGTAACAATAATAATCAGATGGGGAAAGCCCTTATTTCTAAATTTATAAACTCAAGAAGTTGCAAGTATGTTATAAATTTCCTTTGTCTATAGCTCTCTTTATAATTTTTGCACCTTTCCTTCTACCATAACCAAGTGCTTGGAATAGTGTGATGTATTGGTAACTTTTTACAGCTACTTTTCAGCTTGAGGTGCTGTAGCTTGACACCAAGGGAAGGAGAAGGAATGGAATAAACCTATTATCCAGCTATTGCTGGCCCTACCAAATTTATTTTCAATTTCTTATTGAGATAGTAGTTTTATCTTTCCTCCCTACATCTACATCTCTCAGATCACTTATAAAACTTTTTAGAGTATTCCCTCCCCACCCATCCCATTGCCTCTGAGACATTTCTTCCCTACTAAATGAAGTGAGCAAAAGGAGGGAGAGAAAGGAGAAATACAAGTTTTAAAAAATATTTATACAGTTGATTTTCATTATTCACAGTAGCTATATTCTATAAAGTTGCCATGAACACTGAATTTGTGAATACTGAACCACTGCTTCTAGGGAAAATACAGGACTAGGTTCCAGGGAGCCTCTGGTCACAACATTTTCATCAACTTATCAATACATAACCTTATTTTATGCATTTCTGTTTAAAGACAGCTTATTTAATATGTATTATTGATTCACTGGCATTAAACACGTAGCCAACAACACTACAGTTCCAAATATCCAAACTCTAAGATGCTCCAGAATCTGAAATTTTTTGAGCACCGACACAGTGCTCAACGGAAATGGTCATTAGAGCATTTCAGATTTTCAGATCAGGGCTACTCAACCAGTAAGTATAATGCACATATTCCTAAATCCGAAAACAGTCGAAATCCAAAACACTTCTGGTCCCAAGCATTTCAGATAAGGGATACTGAACCTGTGTAACTCTTTCCTGAATGAAGCTTATCTAGCACATGTATTTTCTCCCTAAGGCCTTTATCCACTAGCCAGCACTGAGGCATTATGCTTAGGGGCCATTTTAAACAGCAAAACCACCAGAAAAAGCATAAAAATGTGGAAAACATGGCACTAAATAGATAGTGAAAAGCGCATTTGTATACAATAAGTAGGAGAGCTGAAACAAGAAGGTAGAGTCTTGCCTTGCTTGACCCCAGCTGGGAATATGCGCATTGGGCAACTCCAATTTTTTGCCAGTCTTCACATGTCCACTAGGACCATGAAAGTGCTGCAAGTATTGATTTTGGGGTTATAAATAAATTTTAGCTGGCAGTTAACTCATAAATATAAATCCACAAATAATGAGGATCAACTGTACATATAGCTTTAAATTACACCCCAGATAGCTTCGGTATATTTTTTGTTTCAAAAACAAAAGATAATTTCCATTTTTTAACATGATCTATCTACGTAATGAGTGGCATGTTTTGGAGGAGATTAGGATAAAAATGGCATCAGTTATCCCGTTGCTTTCAGTTTAGTCTTATACTTACATTTAGTTTTAAAGCAAGAATTGAGCAGTTTGTGACTTGAGAATTATCTGGGATCTTTGTAAAATCTTAAGCAACTCAATTTGTTCGGGCTACTTTTAATTTCTAAACACCTAGTTATTGGGGAGGTAGCTGTTGACTGAAATCTTTCTCTCCTACCCACTTTTTAAATTGCCTAACACCTGCCTTTTTATTTGCTTTAATGGGTTTTAGTTTTATTGTGTCTGTGTCTTTTATTATGAGCTACCCGAAATCCTTTTTGGAAGTAGGTGAAATATAAGTAAATGTATTTATTGATAAAAAGAATTTACATATCTTTTTAGGATGGGAATGTCTATAGACACATCTTCCACAGCAAAATTTAAAATGTGGAGCCATCATATAATGGTCGGAAAAGTCTTATAATGATTGGCTTTTCTATATACTTGGAACACAATGTAAATAAAAAAATAAATTTTTAATTTTGAACTTATTCTTCCATCTAATATTATGCATTGGTTCCATAGGCTTTGTAGCTGAGCAGTTTCTAAATAACACAGCCACTCAACTGACATACCATGGATTATGTGAACTAACTTCAACGGTTCAGGAAGGAGAACTTTGTGTGTTCTTTCGGAATAATCATTTTAGCACCATGACCAAATACAAGGTATGATATAGAAATACCTATTTAATTGTTATTCTAAATCAAAGGAGCTTAATTTAGAGATGTCTTTTGATCTGCTTCAAAATATTTAAGCATAATATTCCTTAACCATCAAATTATGAAGGTAATTATTAAATACAGTACATCTTTAGGATGGAATAGATTAACGATTGAAGTGTTACCTCAAATCAGTTTTTGTTTTTTAATTCTAATCTTTTTCACAGATTACTGCATTAAGAAGTATTTATTGTCTTTTTGAGGAAAATAAAAAAGATAAACCTTAGAGATAGAACTAGTATAACTTCTAATTATGGAAGTTTATATTTCAGTGCTAAAGGAATTTAGAAGAAAGGATTGAGATTTGCCTTTCTGATAGCGTTTGCTGTTAAGTTATCAGTGATGACTATATTCTTCCCGTAGTGCCATTTATGGCTCTGTCAAAAAAATCTTACTGATTCACCTTTTTCGTTGTCTCTTGTATTCATCCTTTCTGTTTTTACACGTTAGTTCCAGGAGTTCATCAACTTATACCTAGACTTTTGCAGTAGAATACTGTTCTGATCATGTCAATATTATGGAAAAAATTACAGTAGCACCTAGTGCCTAGAGGATAAAAATGGAAGATATGTTCTATTCCCATATGTCAACCCTTTCCTTTAGCCAAACTGGTATCTATTTACTGATAATCCTCCATCCCATACATACTTTATGCTTTCTCATTTCTGCATTGTTACTGCCATTTATTACTCCTCAATCCCTATTTGGAAAGCTTTTCTCACTCCTTTTTGCCTATCCAAATTTCAGCCATTTTTAAGAAGCATTTCAAATCTAAACCGTTCAACAAAGCTATTCCTTCTTTCCTTAAACCAGTGGTTCTCAACCCAGCTTATATGCTAAAACTACCTGGGGAGCTTTTTTAAAAATGGCAGTCCCGGAACCTACCACCAACTCAATTAAATTAGAATCTCTGGACGTGGGACCTGAACATCAGTATTTTTAAATGCTCCCCAGGTGATTTTAATGTGCAGCTAAGGTAGAGGATCACTGCTCTAACAGTTCTCTAGCTGTTGTTGGCCACATTATCCTTATTTACCCCTTATTGATTAGTTCCTAGTTACCAGTTTTCTTTCCATGCAAATGTGTTGTCTTTTTCTAAATGGAAGTAGGTTATTGGAGTCTTGAATTACATCTTCATATTTCCTTCAACATTTTAATCAATGAATTACACAAAGTCATAGAAAATAATGATTTGTTTGCTTATATAAGAATACCCTAAAGCCCTAGCTCTCCTATTCCTCTTAGTTATAGCAACAGTTCATTTGTATTGCTTCAACATTTTAACTAGATGTATGCTAGATATGGGCCCAAAGTCATCCACACTCCTTAGAAATCTAAGGCCAGAGGAACTCAGAATTAGAATTATTGTTACATAGTGAATACTGCTAAATCATGTTGCTTTACCTGACCTCTTCAAGTTCAGGACTTACTTATTTATTTAACAAATATTTATTGAACACATATATGTCTGGGTGCTCAGCTAAGTACTGGAACTACAGCTATGAGCAAGACAGCTGTAGTTTCTGTCTTTTAAGGACCTCCTAGTTTGGCAAAGAGCAGATAACAAATAATTATTAATTTATTTCTATTGAGATACATTCTGTAAAGGATACATACCACAAGCTGTAAATGCTTTTATCAGGACTTATAACCTAGTTGGGGATGTCACATCTCAAGACTTCCTTGAAAAGGTCACATTTAAACTGAGACCTGAAAAGTGAATCTTCTAGTTTAATCAGTTAGCCAAAAAGAGTTAACTAAGCAGATGGAACGTGTATGCAAAGGCTCTGAGGAGGGAAAGAGCTTGACTCCTTAAGGAATTAAAAGAAAGTCACTGTGCCTGAAGCATAGCAAATAAGAGACATGAAGTAAGGCTACATAGATAGACAGGTACTAGATCTTATAAATTCCTAAGTGGAGAAACAGACCTTGGTCTCCTGATGGCTCTGGTAGTTCTTTTTGTTCTCTTTCTGTCTCAAGAGTGAGCAGGGGTGAGGGAGTTTAGTAGGAAAGCAACCTCCCAAAACTGAGCTCCAGGTGTTCCCTTTTCTATTAAGGCCATATTCCTGACCAGGAAGTCCTTTACTAGTCAGCTAGGTACTCCCCATCTTCTTATGTCGTTGGGGAGGGGAGCGCCTCTCCTAGAGCACTTTCTAACATGTCTGTGTCTGGATAAGCATGCCCTTCTGTGAGATAATGGTAACTCAAGGAATGTGTGCATTCTGCTGTTTCTCCGCTTCTAAGAGTTTCTCAATAAATCTTGTTCTATGACTAAACAGTGTATCACTAATGATGTGTGTCTTCTTGCTCTTTGCACAACATTAAGGTGCTTTGGACTTTGAGGCAAGAGTGGATGTGGGATTTAGTTAGGAGACTATTACAGGGGGCAAGTAAGAGATTACAGTGACTTGGATTAGGCTGGTAAAGGAATGGAGAGTAGACAGATTCTGAAGACATTTAGGAGATGTAATCAACCACATTTGGTGATTGGAGATTCTAATCATCAAAATAAAATAAGAAAGAATGAAAAATTTTTTTAAAAAATAAGCATTGACAAATATGTGGGGAAAAAAAGAATGATTTCTGGATTCTGGATGAATGGTGGAACTATTTATTGAAACAGAATACTGGAAAAGAAGAAAGATACCATGAGATCAACTTTGGACTGTTAGAGCTGCTTCTGGGATCTCCAAGTTGGGTGAAGTGTTTGATACTGGAATAATTTTGGTGTACAGATAGTAATTTGGGGGGAGGATAAGATTTATAAGAAAAAAATGGAATGAGAAGAAAAGAGAAGGATGACAGATTTGAGGCGTACCAACATTTAAGGATCAGCTAGAGAAGTAAGAACTGGCACAGGAGACTGAGAAAGAGAATAAGAGGAAAATCTAAAGAATGTGGAATCTTGGAACCAAGGGGAGAAAGAGTCCTTCAAGAGGGATGGAGATCTTAGTCGTTAAATGCTGTTGAAAAGATGAGTAAGATAAGAACACTAGGGGTTGCAGTGGAGGAGAGTAGGAGTGGGGTTGGAGGGAAGAATGATGGAAGCAGAAGATACCCAATTTGAGTTGGTTATCAACTCAAATGATTACAATGTCAGGAAATAGAAACAGATTGTAAGCAACTCTTTGAAAGAGTTTGTCTGTAAGAGGGCATAGACATAATAGCTCATAGTGATAGTTCTACACCCCAGGAGGGTTTCTTGTTTTTGTTTTGTTTTGTTTTTAGAGTTGGGGTCTCCTTATGTTGCCCAAGGTGGAGTACAGTGTCTTGTTTATAGACACGATCATAATGCACTGCAGCCTCCAGCTCCTGGGCTCGTGCCCAACTTGTTTTCGTTCTGCTTGCCTCCCTTGGAGAAAGTAATGTTTTTATTTTTTTAACATGAGAAACTTGGTCATTTTTTGGTGGTGATGGTGTTTTAAGAGACAGGTTCTCACTGTGTCACCCAGGCTGGAGTACAGTGGCGCAATCATAGCTCACTATAAGTTCCACTACCTCAGCCTCCAGAGTAGCTGGAACTACAGGCACATGCTACCACACCCAGCTAATTTTTTTAAAAAAATTTTTTTTGTAGAGATGAGGTCTTGCTCTGTTGCCCAAGCTGGTCTCAAACTGATGGCCTCACGCGATCCTCCCTCCTTGGCCTCCCAAAGTGCTGAGATTACAGGTGTGAGCCACTGCGCCCAGCCATCATGTTTAAATATTGAAGGATTCAATACAGAGAGAAAGGTTAAAGATTCAGTAAAGGGGATAATTAATGTTAGAAGGCTCCTAAGAAGATGAGAAAAAAGATAGAAACTTTCATAGGTAAAGGGGATTGACCTTTGATTTAAAAAGGGACCTCTCTCGTAAAGCAGTGAAGGAATAGACTGAGTATAGCTATAGGTAGATTTGTAGATTTGCTAGCAGAAAGTAGAGAAAGGTACTGTTTGAAGGCAAGATCATTTACTGAGATGGAGTAGGGGTGGGAAGGTATGGTTCCAGATTTGAAGAAGTAAAGTGTAAATAGTCCTTGCAGCACATCGGAGAAAGCCTGGACTAGAGAAATCAAGAAGAATCACCAGGCAGCACTGAACATGGCATTGGCAGTATTGAACATGAATATGCCACTTGTGTGATTTTTCTGCTCGAGTATTTATCACAGTATAGGTATTGGAGAAGGTTACTAGTTTGTCATTTCTAGGTTTGGGGTTTGTTAACTGGGTGCAATAAAGAGTATAAGAACAAAGGAGTTTAGGGACATGATAGCATTGTGGATATAATGTCCAAATTTATAGAGATAAATATTGCATAGAGCAAATAAAACACTATTCTTCTCTAAAGTAATAATATTCTTACAGAAGGGATAAATGGGAACAACTATCCTGGTGGCCAGTCACTAGGGGAAATGCCCTTATTTACCATGGTAACTACCAAACCAAAACGGTAACACGATTTTTCTTTTTTTTTATGAAAAATTACAAATTTACAGAACAGCAGTAAGATTTACATTTAACAATTTGACATTATGCTATTTTCATCTATTTTTATATTTTTGCTTATACTTCAATATGCATCTGTAAACAAAATTTTATTTCAAACTACAGTATCATTAATGCATCTAACAAAATTAACTGTAATTTTTTTTTTTTAAAGATGGGGTCTTGCCATGTTGCCCAGTTTGTAGTATAGTAGCATGATCATACCTCACTGTAACCTCAAACTCCTAGGCTCAAGTGATCCTCCTGCCTCAGCCTTCCAAGTGGCTGGGACTACAGACATGCCCGGCTAATTTTTTTAAATTTTTTTGTAGAGATAGGGTCTTGCGATATTGCCCAGGCTGATCTCAAACTGCTGGCCTCAAGCAATCTTCCAGCCTCAGCCTTCCAAAGTGCTGGGATTATAGGCATGAGCCATTGCTCCTGGCCAACTATAATTCTTAATGTCATCTAATACCCAGCCTG